CACAACCGCTACTAGACAAACCACTAGACAAACTTAGTAATCTAAGTTATCCGTTACTCATGGAGAGACCGTGAGGCCTGGACTTATTTGAATGAGAATTGTATAAATGTCAGTCAGGGATGAGCAACTTTCAGTACTTCAATAGGTTGGTATATTAACATTATATCAGTTAATGAAATTACGGTATTTAACTGTAAATTTAAGTTAAAACCGTAAAACCTAAAATGTTGCTACCGCATTTTTTACGGTAAAATTCCGGCAACCACAGCTGTAAATTTTACGGTATTTTTAACAGTGTATGTGCTCTTATTTTTCATATTGTTTAGTATTGAGATCAAGTGTACTTTTTCTGGTTTCATCAAAGGTTGCCTGGTTCACAGCAGAATCCTTCCACGATCGATGCGAACCACTGACAGATGCATTGACCGGACAGACACAACCGCTACTAGACAAACCACTAGACAAACTTAGTAATCTAAGTTATCCGTTACTGATGGAGAGACCGTGAGGCCTGGACTTATTTGAATCAGAATTGTATAAATGTCAGTCAGGGATGAGCAACATTCTGGCTCTCTTTCAATTCACAAGAAGGAATTTGAATGGAATTGGCCAAACTCAACTCGACGTTGAATTGAAGTTGGAATTGAAATGGCAGAAAGAGTACTCAAGTGCAGTTCAAAGACATTCAGCACATAAGTTATTAGACGTATTTCTCAAATTCAATAATGTTGCAACAGTTAACAGCCATCAAAACAAATTTGAATTTTGCCAGAAAGCATCACAATATTGTTTGCATCTAAAAAAAAACAACAACAACAACCCTAAAAAAAAAAAAAAAAAAAACAACAACAACCCTTAAACAAAAAATTTGATGTTGAATTGGAATTTGACTCGGAATGACAGGAAGAGGAATTTACTGAAATAAAATTCAACAAAAGAATTTCCATAGTAATAAACATCAACACAACTGATTATTTCAATTTAGTGAAATACTGTACAATTTTCTCTCAAGTTCAATAATGACACGACAATTAACAGCCATCGCAACAAATTTGAACTTTGATAAACAGGATCACAAACATCCACCACATTTTCAGATAACTACACATAAATACTGACTTCAAAATTGTAATCTATTGATTATAAGTTGTTGTTTGGCATCACTTAATAAATGATGTATTCTTCCAGCATGATCCATAAAATGAAACTTTAGTAAATATATCAAAATAAATATAAATGAAATGCAAATGTCTATTTCTATCATTTCAAACATTGATTATAAATATATTTTAATGTGTCTGGTATTACAAATGCTTATTGCACATGTTTGTACTGGAAAGTTCAGCAGGATTTCTCTGCATTTCATTCCATTTTAAACCTACTTTATTAAATTCTATTCTGCATACCAATACTCTACAGTTGCACTCAACGCTCCCTCTCTTCTTTAAGTTGTGGACAGTATGAAACTCCAGATGCCTTCCTGTTAGCCATCAGTCCAAGCACTTAATTAATCCAATTAATGGGCAAAGTTCAGCAGGTAGAGTAGATAGAGTACAGACCTGAATACATAACACACTCTCTCTCTCTCTCTCAAACACACCCTAATCCTCTGCAGACCCTCGATGACGACTCTTTCCTTGATTTATCCTCATTAGGAGAGACTCTGACGTACACACTTCCACTTGTGCGGGCATTAATGTTTGTCCTGTAGTAATTCAGTAGCTTCAAGGAACTGATAATCCCAAATTACAGGTTCTTCAGATTAGTCTGTGGGTTTCTGAGATTCTTTGAAATATCAGTAGATGCTTTTTAGAAGAACTAGAGAGTAAAAAAGTTCATTGAAGGTCATATAAAGGATCAGTCACATCTTAGTTTCGGGGACCGATTCTCACTATTAACTTTTAAATACGACTTTTGCCTCAATAAACTCCTAATTAGTAAGGTAGTTGTTAAGTTTAGGTGTGGGTTTTAAGGATTAAGGGATCTAAAATATGCTCATGCAGAATAAGGAGTTAATATGTGCTTTATACGTACTAATAAACAGCCAATATGCTAGTAATATGCATGCTAATAAGGGGACCTGGTGTCGTTGCAGACATCCTGGCATCCAGTTTATTGGGTGAGGGGTCTGTGACGACTTGTTAATCTAATGAATAACTGATTTGTTAAATCAAATGAAAAATTGTGTTTTTGATTGGTCCAGACGCTACAAGTATATCCAAATGTCATGCACACAAAATGACATCTTACACATAGTTTTACTATAAAAGGTACTTTTAAAGTAACAATAACATGTTATTTACAAAAAGTATGCAAATACTTTGAACTATCGACAGCCCTAATTTTGCAACACAGCCGCATGACAAATAAAGTAATTATTTTGGTGAATTGGTGGCAAATATATGTTGTTCATATGCTCACTAAAACTAAAACCATAAAAAAAATTATTTGAAATAAACATTAACTGAAATGAAATATACTTACTTTATTTCAGCTAGTTGCCACGGAAACATGTTGCATCCTAATCTAGTTTAACTTGGAGTACTAAAACTAAACCTTAAATAAACAAACAAACAAATAAAATAACTATGTAGAC